TTATTCATTGTTGTGGGATACCTTCGCACATGCTGCGATTACATGGCTATATGGGAATTTGAAAGCCTGAAACCTGCCACATTGGCATTTCTTCTCACAAAGATGCACCCAGAATTTATCATCATCGTCATCAACTTCAAATGCGATATGCTGTACATTAAATTGCCAAACATGCATCGATGTAACCCTCTCTCCATTAGTTGTCATGGCTTCGCTAATAACATTGGAAAAATGCTTTCTTGCGCATCTTTCTGGGCCTTAGTCCCTCTCTAGAACTAGTAATGGACAAGTCGAGCATAGGTGCATTTCACCAATGAAGTTATTGGCATGTTCCTTGTTCCCTTGAAAACCCTATTCACTAATTTCGATATATTAGTGGTCATATGGCCATATCTTCTTCCATCCAAATCTTAACTCTGAGTCCATTTTTCCTTTAGAATGCTCTCAATCCATGCAGCCACTTCGGGACTAGTGTTGCAGAACTCGACGTACAACGCGTCAAAATGGATTTGATTTGGAATATAACCTGCGAAGTAGAAAAAACATTAGGGATTGCATCAGGTAGCAAATGTACTAGTAAAAAAAAGTGCACATGAGATGTAGTATATAACCTAGCTTCATTAGATCTTTCTTCAACTGCTGGTTATTAAAACAGGTATGAAAATTGCTCGCTACATGACGTAGACAATAAACATGGTACACATTAGAAGGCTGCCAACTAATGACCTCATTGTCGAGCGCTCATATTATGTTGCAATGTCAATCAGAAATAAGACATATACCAATTTTCTTTGTAACATATATTCGGATGGATGCCAAAAAGTACCCTCATGCTTCCTTTGTTTCACTTTCAACAACCGCAAATGCAATTGGCAGGATCTCGTTATTTCCATTTTGTGTTGTGGTAATCAATAATGTTCCTTTATACTTACCATACAGATGTGTACCGTCTACCTGTACAACTGGCTTGCTCCATTTGAACGCTTCACAACATTGATTGAAAGTCCAAAAAACACGTTGGAATACCCAACACCCATCAACAACTTGTCGATTGATGATATATTCTTCAGTTTGAATATGATGCATAGATCTCGGAGAAAAAGACATGTACTTCAGCCATCTTGGTAGGAAAGCAAATGACTCATCCCAATCACCGTAAATCTTTGCAATTGCTTTTTATTTTTCCTTCTTGTAAGAGACATGAAATCCAAAGAGATTGGTCACCCTTTCTTGTATTAGGATCACAGCAACCGAAGATTGGGCCTTAACCATGTCTGCAATACCATACACAACATGTATATATTAGGAATGTTATTTACGTTGACTGTTAAACACAAATAATTATCAAAATCGGCAGAATGTATTGCAGATCAAACCTAACATGGCTATGGAAATAAGTTCAGAATCAAGTTGTCTGTGATCTTGGGAAAGAAATTGGTTGATATAATTATCATCTCTAATCCATTTACTAACCACCCAACTGTTGTTAATCTTAGGGTTTTTGACAATTTCATAGACAACCTTGTTCACAACATTGTTCGTGGTTTTGATATTTCATAGACAACTTGCCCGTAGTACTCTCAACCGCTACAACTTCTCGATGATTTTTCAAGCACTAATTCTTTATTGCGGCCTAAACATCTTGCTTGGACCCTAGCTCTTGTTTCTCAAACAAAGGATCTTCTCTTGTCCACGAACCCCGACTTAAGCCTTCAACATCTAGTATATCTTCATGCAGGTAATCCCAATTAACAGCCTCATAATGTGGAATTGAATTTCAGAATGGTTCAATATCTGCACATACACACATAATACATTTCAACAAAAAACAATGGTATATGGTGGTGGCCTTCTCGAATTTACCACTATATAATTTATTTTTTTTGGTAAAAACCACTATATGTTTTAGATTCAATGTCAGCTCTACAAAGGGAAACATTATTAATATCTTTTAATATACTTTTTATTATTAACTAAAATTTTATGTTAGCCTTACTAATAATATTAGCCAAGTGAGTTTGAGTTTAGGTAATTTAAGGTGTGTATAATAACAATTCTGTTCTACAGTATTGTTTTTTAAAAAAAAATAATTTTTTTCTATTTGTGTGCCTTGGAAAAGTTTCTAGAAAAAAAATGTATTTGATAACTTTTTTATTTTTATTCCGAGAAACAGAATTACACGTTTGTTAGTCACATATTGCGGTTTTCATTTGGGACTCTAGCTGTCAATGAAGATAGTATTTGATTTTGTTGGAGTTTTAACTTTTGATGGATCTTTTCCTTTAAGTCTTCAAAAGACATACATTGGACAATATACATAGCTCTTTTTTTTCCTTCAAAAGTCAAACTGCCTGAATCTATACTTTTAGCATCATTGTAATATACAAATGAACGTAATTGATCCGGGATAATAATGAAAATAAAAATTATAAATTAAAAATAGAACATAAGATGAGGAACACAACAAAAAAAAGGTTGCAAATATGAGCACTAAACAAAGTGCAATATGCTAATGTTATCTATATGTTTCACAAAAGTGAAAAAATGCTGTAAATGGTTCGCTGCTGAGGGGATATATATAGGGGGGTTTGGGTGAGTGTTTGGTAAGATGGATGGGTGATTGTTACGTAGGATGGACGGTTAAGGTTTGATCTGGTATTCCCGTCGACAACAAGTGTAGGATCAGACTGAGAAGAGTCTCGTCCATTGCAAGTGCAGGATTGTCGGGTGTCTCGTCTGCTGCACGTGCGGGTTTGCCAAGTGTCTCGTCAGTGACCAGTCCTGTCCCCAAGCCAAAAAAGAATTCATGTGCTCTGTGTGTGTGGGACTACTCCTGCATGTCACATGTACGGGTTTGACCGCATTACAATGAAAAAACATTTCAAATCGGTTTTGAGTTGGCATAACTTTTGAGTGAAAGCTTGAGCCATGTTTGAAATATGGATTGAAAGATTATAATTGATCTTTGATTGGGTCATACTTAATATATAGTATTAAACTGTAAGTAGAAATCTAGTTACAAAACTAACTACCAGTTATTGTCATAGTTAATAAATATATAGAGTTACTTTATGCTGTTGAGATACATTTGATATCGGTGGCGACATTGCTTTTCTTATCGAAATGGGCAGCAATAAGAAATAGGCACCTATACTTGGTCGAAGTGGGGCATAAAATTTAAGTGTAATTAAATCCCGATTCAGAATTAATTTTATAATTAATTCTGAAAATTACAACTTATAAAAATATTGAAGAATCTACTCACCTCAAATAAAAAGGTACGTAAAAAAATAGGCACTAATATGAAAACAATTTGGGATGTGGAATGTAGACACAAAATGAGTTGAAAAAATGGCGTTGAAGAATCATTTGAATTGTGGCAGCGCAATTTCTTGAGTGAAAAGTTATTAACATATTTTTATTATCAAATAAAATTTTATACTGATTTTATTAAATAATGTGGACCCATTTCTTAACAGTACAACTAAGCTAAAATTTCACTCAATAATTAAAAATATTAAACAATATATTAAGGGGGTATTTAGTTGGAGTATTATTTTCAACTGCATAGGAAAGTCATGGTGAGATTTCAAGACTCCCATGTTTGGTAGCAAATATGAGAATTTTTTTTCACTATTATCATTTGCCTAGGAGTCCATATTTAGTGTAAAATGAAAACAAAAATACAACCCAAAAAAACCACTAAGATACTGGTATTCCAATTTCGCTGGAGATATGAAAAACTAAGATTGGAAACTTTAACAAAAGTAAGTTGTTTAAATATATAGTGGACTATTCAGTATGCTTCTTATTCAAATCAAAAAATAAAAATGTTAACAGGGTTAGTTTGATAATTTTATCATATTTTTTTAACTTCAACTAAATATAGACTCAGAAAATTTAGCCCAATTTTTTCGGTAATATTTTGGCCTACCAAACAACGTTTTTTACATTTTTCTACTAAACTCACTTTCCAACCATTTCTCTATCAATTACATTTTTCTAGTATACAAAAAATTCCTCCTCAATCAAACGCCCTCCCGGTTTTATAAGAGTTATGTTGTAGGAAAAATGATTGTGTAATGTTATAGAGATTCGTTTTGCGTGCCGTAATTTTTTTTTTTTTTTTTTTCAAAAATTGTAGGCACCACAAAATATTATGTGTGTAGAAAAATTTATTGTGTCATGTTAAATGACAAATGCAAACCTCATATATTAATAATATTTTTGTTTTTCGGGAGTGACTCTTTGGTCTTTTCGTACAAAGCGTTGACCATTGATCTTGCAGAACGTTTTGGCTCCCTGTTCTTCAAGAAAACACTAGGTTGAAATTGTTGACCACTTGAAAATTTCGAGAATTCACCGACGAAGCATTCTGTACGACGTCATCCTGCAACCGCTATTGCATCATAACAAATCAATTCAATTTTTCTAAAAGTTGTTGGTGAACTGGCAAAGAAATAATTGCACAGATTTTATTTCTATAAGTTAAATCAATTAATAAGGAATAAATTGCCACATAACATAAAAATTTATATAATTTTAATATCAAATAAAAATATATATGTTGCTAATTGATTTAATTTATCAATTTATGTAAATAAATGATTTTATATGTTTTTAGATTTGATATTTTTTGATATTTTTGGCAGATTTTTAATTATATGATTAATTTGTAATAATATACAATGGCATTATTAATTATACAGATTGTGCGGATCTCAACAATCAATTGTATCATTGTGGGGTACGCAGCTTATGTAACCTCTTACGTCATTTTTCGCCATTTTAACGGCTGGAATCTTCTTGATAAGGGATGTTTTTTAATTCTTTTCTAGATCCTTCTTGTGCGCGCAATCACCTACAACCATACGCGTTAACAATTTAATAATGCATTAAATGGAATTAATACGTGGCATCATTTATAACCCTTTTATTCTTCCAACCTTTATCCACCGCATGTAATATAATATAGCTTTCTAATTGACCTCGTGTAAGTTGAATAGTAATCATGGCTCTATAAAAGGAGATGACCATAGGCATCAATCACAGATCACAAACAAGTAACTAACTTGCTAGTTGTTTGAGTAAAGAATTGAAGGAGTGGAATGGCTACAAATCAGGAAGAGGTGAAGCTTTTGGGAATTGTGGGAAGCCCATTTGTGTGCAGAGTGCAGATTGCTCTTAGTTTGAAGGGAATTGAATACAAATATCAGCCAGAAAAGTTGGACAACAAGAGTGATCTGCTCCTCAAATACAACCCAGTTTACAAGAAGGTTCCTGTTTTTGTTCATAATGAGAAACCCATATCAGAATCCCTTGTGATTGTTGAGTACATTGATGAAACATGGAAAGACCACCCCATCTTGCCTGCTGAGCCTTACCAGAAAGCCTTGGCTCGTTTCTGGTCCAAGTTCATAGATGACAAGGTAACTCCATTCTTCTGTTTTTCTTATTTACTATTTTCCTTCTAAACATGAAATTTCAGTATATTTGAGACCTCAATTTTAACTATCTACCGAGAAAGTTTGAATTATTTTCATTCATAAATTATACCTCTAATAAACATTGTTTAAAATCATATCAATGATTAATCAATTTCATTTATAAACTATACCTTATATTATTATTGTGATCTATAAATTACATGGATTATTATCGGGATTTGGTAGACATTTTTTTACAAAAGGATTCTGTTGTACGCAAATCTGACAGTTGGCAGTAGAATCTCTAGATACATAACTTGTAATTGAGTGATACATGTCGTACGAGGTGACAATAAAAATTTACCAGAAAGTTTATTTTTAAAATTTTTTGAATATTTTTCGTATAATTAACTCAATCGGAATTCTATTATAGTTCTAACTTCTAACGTAATTACTAATAAGTACTTTAATTTGTGAAATCAGTGTGTGGCTGCTGCATGGAAAGCTGCATTCACCCTTGATGAGAAAGAGCGTGAGAAGAGTGTTGCAGAATCATATGAGGCTCTGCAGTTCCTTGAGGATGAGCTCAAGGACAAGTTCTTTGGTGGTGAGGAATTTGGCTTTGTGGATATTGCTGCTGTGTTCATAGCCTTCTGGATCCCTATTATTCAAGAAGTAGCAGGGCTGCAATTGTTCACCAGTGACAAATTTCCCAAGCTCTACAAATGGAGCCAAGAATTTAGCAACCACCCTGTTGTGAAGGAATCCCTGCCTCCTAGAGAGCCACTCTTTGCCTTCTTCAAAGCTCGCTATGAAAGTCTTGCTGCTTCAAAGTAGATTCATTTAAGAGATACTCATAATTTGCAAGGGAAACTGTATGAACTGCTTGTCCGTCGTTGAGTTATTGCTGTTTGAATTGCATAAAAAATCCTAAGATCTTGTGTCCATTTTTGCTATTTCAGTTAATAAAGAAATTTTGTTTTCCCTTCATATAAATTTTGTACAGAAATATGTGTCCTGAAGTGTTCAACTCCACCTGGGAATTTTTTTTTTCCCTCACCCCTTTAATGGGAAGATCATTATAGGCTCGGATCGCCCCAGATTGGTGCAGTCATAATTTTTTTTTTTTGTATAATTAACTCAATCGGAATTCTATTATAGTTCTAACTTCTAACATAAAGTTAATGGGAAGATCATTTTTTTTTTTGATACAGGTAAAAGGTTTCGGAATCCGAATATGAACAAGGAGGGGTAACTACTTCAGGCTAGTTTGTGCTAGAGAGGGTCGTCCACGACAAAAAAATGATAAAGATGTTGCTCAAGTTTGTTAGACCAAATTTAAGAAGACATCATCATTATGCATTGGGTGTGGAGCTTGTGTAAGTGCTTATAAAAGTGAAAACACAAAAATGTGAAAAATTACACAATTTTACGACAACCATAATCATGGTCTTGTGACTCCAAAGAGTGTTTGTTATCTCAGATCACACAAAAAAATGTTTGATGCTGCAAGATTATTGGTTGAACACTTTAGTGATGCAAGCTTGCCCACAGGAAAAGTGGCTACCATCTTCAAAGACGATGAGTTATCATTTGACAGTCGAGATTGTTATAATCATCTAAAAAGTGAGGAGAAGAATATATAACACAGGAGATGCACAAGCTATGTTACACTATTGTGTTAAACAACAACCATTGAATCCAAAGTTCTTTTATTCCATTAAATGTGACGATGAAGATCGCATGGAAAGCTTTTTTTGGATTGACGCAAGGTCCAGGCAAGCTTATGAGCTATTTGGTGATGTCATCACATTTGACACGACATACAGAACTAATAAATATTCAATGCCATTTGGACCTTTTGTCGGTGTAAATAATCATTTACAGTCAATCTTGTTTGGATGTGCTTTATTGAAAGACGAAACAGAAGATACTTTTGTGTGGCTATTTAAGGAATGGCTTCGAGGAATGGATGGGAAACATCCGGGCACCATAATTACTGATCAGGTATAATCATTTTAAGTACATCTTTTCAATTGTTTCATATATTAATGATTGTATTCTTACATATGTCATTGAATTTATAGGACATGTCAATTACCAATGCAGTATCCAAAGTTTTCCAAAAAAGCAAGCATCGATTTTGTATGTGGCACATCACAAAAAGTTTCCAGAAAAATTGTCTCATGTCTATCAGCAGCATGCCACATTTAAGAGTGATTTCAATAAATGTATCCACACAAAAAAGAGCACTCAAGATTTTGAAGACAAATGGCAACATATTCTTGATAACTTTGGTCTTCATGAGAATGAGTGGTTGCAGTCACTCTATTCAATTAAATCGTCTTGGATACCAATCTTTAACAGATCCATTTTCTTTGCGGGTATGAACATCTCTCAGCGTAGTGAAAGCATCAATTCATTTTTTGATGGTTTTGTTACGTCTGGCACAACCTTAAAGGAGCTTGTAGAAAAATATAATCAAGGAGTAGATGCTCGTTATGATTCATTCAAAAAACAAGACTTTGAATCTAGGCATAAAGAAAGGCGTTTAACATTGAATATGCCATTGGAAGAGCATGCAGCTAAGGTCTACACACGTGCAATTTTCACATTTAGTGATGTGCTTTCTCATAGTTTTCCTCTCTCTAAGGAGAAACTTGGAAATGATGGTGAGTGGGTTACCTATCAAGTTTTTAATAGGAAAGAGAAGGATCATTTTGCAACTGTGAAGATGAAGTTGGAAAATAGAGAAACTAGATGTTCTTGTCAATATTTTGAGTTCATGGGAATCCCATGTGAGCATATTATTGCTATTTTTCGGTTGAAAATGTTGAGCAGATCCCTGAACATATGATTTTGCGACGTTGGAGCAAGGAAGGAAATGATATAATTAGTACCAATAAGGACATTTGTAATTTTGATGGAGAAGGACTCCTTCGCGACTTTGAAATACGCCATAGAGTTTCGAAACTTATTAAGCTTGCAGATAGGTCCAATGAAGCAGCTAAATTCGCTTGTGATGGTCTTGATTCTCTCATTGAATCTTTAGAAAAATTTCCAACACCTGATGATAGTATTGGTCTTGAGGATTTTGATTCACATTACTTGAGTTCTCAAACTGAAGAGTCATCTATGATGAGATTGAATGATCCCAACATTTCACAAACAAAAGGTCGAAAAAGGGAGTCACACATTATCTCACAGGGACATAGAATTCATAGTGGAATTGAAGAAGCATCAAAGAATACTAATATTTGTGGAAATTGCAAGAAACGAGGACATAATAAGCGTACATGTAGAGAGAAAAAAATACATTGACTCTAGTTTTTTTTTTTTTTTTTGGGTTTTATGACATTTGTTACATGGTTATTATTTAATTTATTATTTCTTTTAGTTGGTATAAGATGTATTGTATTATTGTATGTAATTAGAATTCTTATATAAACTAGTTCACGAGCATCAACAAGTTAAAATGCTCATAAAATAAGTTTGATGCATGGTACAATTGGTTAATAAATGGACAATCAACTTCCATTGCATATTTGTCATGTGCCATAAGGTGAAAGGTGCTAATCTACATAATGTCTTAGACCAATGCATTTCATAAAGTGTTATGTAATAGTTGTTAAAATTTTGAGTATGCTAATCCATGTAATTTTTAATAATACACCACGTTAATTAATACTTTGTATAATGACATATCACATGGATAATTTATCTCATATTGATAATTTATATCAACACGATCAATGAATGAAAATTTGAAGATTTTTTTGTTACATATATACAAAAGAAGTTACTAATACATTGTAGGGTAACTAAAAAAATACATGTGATTTCAGAATTCTATTAACTTCGGCTTTGAAGAGACTTGCTTGCTTCTGAGGCTAAGACCATTGCCTTGGCTCTTGTGCTCATCAACATTAAATTCTGCACGACGCTGATGTTGCCTAACCTTTTCCAGTGAGAAAGCATAATTACAGCGACTTGGAGGAACAACTCGTTAAACACCAGTGCTTGCAAGGATATAAATATCTTTCTTTTTGAACAACTCCTGTATACTAGGGTCTGGGGGTCTTACAGCCACTTCAGCAGGCTGGAAAAATTATCAAGGGAACTATAGGTAAACTAACCCAATCATTGTATTCCACTTTAACCAGTTTGAGTTTGAGCTTGACAACAAGTTCGAAAGGAATTTCGTTTGTATGTATCTAGGTGCATTCACTCCTCATTTACAGATGCAGGCCAACATTGTAGAAGACCGTAAACCTTAAACTCTAACTGGTAGCATGAATACCTGTTTCAGGCATTCATTAATTTACAAGAGCAATGCTATTTGCAAGGATATAAACTGTAAAAAGCTTGTTTACTTTCCATACGTGGAAGGTAAACAAAAAGAAAATTATGTTAGAACGATTCAACAACATTATAAAATCTATAGATACATCTCTATAATTGGATAACATACATTGATGTCTAAAAAAAAAAAGACATGCACACTCACCAAAAGCATCCAAATCCAATTTCATATAGTAAATATCAATTTCAGCATTTCCAAGTGCAACAGTTTCAAAGATACTATACAACTATTTCAAGCTTCCATTTAGGTATACTGAAAATCTGCAGCCATTCTCATGAAAATCAAAAGGAACTATTAGCCACAAGATAACACCCTTACAATATGACTTGAAATTGGAATTTGGAAATGTTAACTAGTAACTACCGAATTAAGAAGTGTGAAGTAATCCAATAATAGATACTATGTAAATAATGGTAATTCCTCATATCAGTATCCGGAGATTCATATCAATACACTGTAATGAAACAACAATTATATGTCAAAATAATACTGTAACCAATCTAGCTATTTTGTTTCATTACAGTGTTGTTGCTTAGATGAAGTATAATTTTTTTTCATTACAGTTTTGTTTCATTACAGGTAATTTGTCTAATCTTAGATGATATGAATTTCACTTAGATGAAGTACAATTATATGCAAAGGAGTATAACTTTGACATATAATACTGTTCCTAATCAGAAGAATGACATATAAAGAAACAAAATAAACAAAATTTTGACAAACTACCTTGGATCAAAACCATGTTCCTGCAACAGAGTACTAGCGGATAAAGCCATCAGAAAAGAGGCCAATTTAATTTGTAATTGATGCAAGCACCAATGCCTCAAAACAATTTAAGAAGAAAGATACATGATCCATGTACAATGAAGTTTTAATCATTTTCAAAAGCAAGTACATAAGTATCTAGGAAGTTCAATTTTCAAAAAATAAAAAATAAAATAGAAATTACCCAATTGTTCAAATAATGCTGGAAATGCAAAGCTACATCAAATATATAGCTAATTATACAAACAGCCAAATCAGAAAAGTCAAAGGAGCACTTGAAACTAATAAACAAGATCAATTCAGCATGTCAACGTGAAATAGAGGTATTATCATAGTCTTATCCCTTGAAAAAAGTTGTATATGGAAAGCAAAACCCACAAACCCATGACATGAATCAATAAAAAAAAATTCCAATACAAACTTAACTATTGACATGAATATAGCGTCAGTGAGGTCAAGCCTTAATAGGAATTGACTTTAGAACAAAAATTCTTTAATTAAACTGATGTGGGTTGAGATTTTCCTTCAGAAGACGGTGAAGAGAATCGTAGCCACAAATAGAAGCATCCCCACCAGAGGCCTTAGATTCTTCCTTCCCTTCTCCATTTTGTGAGGCAGCGGCCACGGTAGAAAGGGATAAATGGCGGTAGAGAGAGGGAATCTCAAACTCAGAGAGGGACAAGGGATAAACGGCAGCGACAGCGGCGGTAAAGTGCAGCTGTGGCGGCGAGACGTGTCTGGTTTTGAGAGGCGGCGGCCACGACAATATAGTGAGAGAGAGAGAAAAGGGAAAAGAGAGGGAGAAAGGAAAGAGAGAAGGGAAGAAAGAAGACTATATATACATTGAATCAGGACCGTCAGATGAGATTTTCAATTTAACGATTAGATTAGTGGTCGTAACATTGGTTGTAACATTTTTTCGTTGTTACAATATCCTATCCCTTTTTTTGAAGCTAATAATTACTTTTTTAATCGAAGGGAGATGTTATAGTTACTATTTTTTTTACTACTTGTTACTACCAAATCTTAACTATTAATTTTCGTTAATCTAACAGTTATAATTTATTAGAATTAATAATTAATTAATAAATGTGACCGAATAATTTTCAGTAAATTATAACCGTTAGATTAACGAAAATTAACGGTTAAGATTTGGTAGTAACAAGTAGTAAGAAAAAAAGGTAGTAACTATAACTTCTTCCTAAAAAGTTCTTTAATAGTTTATATAAAGTTATTCTTAACATTTTAGAAAAAAGAGGTGAAGTAATTTATAATTAGGAGAAATTATAAAGGTAAATTATAAAATTTATAAAAAGAAATTTAGAGTAAGAATAATATTAGAAAATAAATATGTGAATTCTAATATATATATATATATATTTATTTATTTATTTATTTAAAAAGTTTAACCTTTAAGCTCTTTCTTTTGTTCAACGTTGCAGCCTTTTCTTATGACAATTTTTAAAAAATTAAGTTTGGTTAAATTTTTATTTTATAAAAAAAGAGAAGTTAAAAATAAGAATTCTCAATCCGGCTGTGAGATAGAGCGGTTGGTAAGGATGAGTCAGATTTCTTAATTTACCGGTTATGATATTTGCTTCGGTAGTTTCTGCCATGTATGACGGAGGAGAAACGGTGCCGATTTGTTCACAGATAAGTGTGTTTATAGGTGTTAGATTAACTTAGCTTATAATCTGTTATGAATATAATTATCGATCTGTGACTTAGTTTATGAATTAGCCTTCTTAGCGTGTAAATTATCGATCTGTGACCCTAGTTTATTGACAAAAAATAAAAGTTTCGCTTAGCCTCTTAAAAGAAAATAAGACAATAAAAATTTATCCAAATAGAATATACGATCAACAGAATAAAGCTTCATAAATTAAATGTATATCTAAACAATATAGAGAACAAAATCATTTAAAAAGTCTGCTTAACCAATAAACTAAAGTAGTGCAAAAGACTACTTAAACAATTTAATATATTCATATCAACAATTTAATATATTTTGATGTGGTCTTGTCCTATATGAAAAAACAAAAACAAAAAACAAGTCAGCTTATTTTTGACATTCAATTATAATATAATAAGATATAA